CAGATGTGAGCCACCACGCCCGGCCAGAAGTTAAGCATATTATTTATTTATTTATTTTTATTATTTTTTTTAAGACGGGGTTTCACCATGTTGGTCAGGCTGGTCTTGAACCCCCAACCTCAGGTGATCTGCCCGCCTTGGCCTCCAAAGTGCTTGGATTACAGGCGTGAGCCACCATGCCCGGCCTATTTATTTATTTATAAGATGGAGTTTCACTCTGTCATCCAGGCTGGAGTACAGTGGCGCGATCTCAGCTCACTGCAACCTCTGCCTCCCAGGTTCAAGTGATTCTTCTGCCTCAACCTCCTGAGTAGCTGGGATTGCAGGTGTACACCACCACACCCAACTAATTTTTGTATTTTTAGTAGATACGGGGTTTCACCATGTTGGCCAGCTGGTCTCAAACACCTGACCTTGTGATCCACCTGCCTTAGCCTCCCAAAGTGCCGGGATTACAGGCGTGAGCCACCAAGTCTAGCCAAGCATATTAATTTTTAAAAGTGGTGACATAATCCATAAATGAAAGATAATTTAAAAACTTAATAAAAGAACTTAGAGTATAGCAATACTAGTTACATCTCTTACACTTCACTAAATATCAAATTCAAGTCTTAATGAACCTGCAAGGCTCACACTGAACGGAATATTTCAGATCTGAGTTTTGGTTCCAGCATTGCCAATAATTTTGTGATATAACACTTCAATCTTTGATAGTTGAAAGCTTTTCCCAGCTTTAAATATCTGATACACAAATGAAAATTTGGGTATGTTAGCCCTGTCTTTGGGCCTCAGTTTTGTCATCTGTAAAATGAGGAATGCTGACTTAATCAAACCGTTTTAATTGAATTTTATAAAATGGATGTTCAAAGACACATTAATCCTGCAAATTAATCTTGGGGGTGGGGATGGGGGTGGGAAGAGCTTCCTTGGTGAAAGCTGCACACTGTATATAGCCTGCTCACTTCATTTTTTTTTTTTTTGAGACGGAGTTTCGCTTTTGTTACCCAGGCTGGAGTGCAATGGCGCGGTCTCGGCTCACCGCAACCTCCGCCTCCTGGGTTCAGGCAATTCTCCTGCCTCAGCCTCCTGAGTAGCTGGGATTACAGGCACGCGCCACCATGCCCAGCTAAAACCTGCTCACTTCAATATGAACAAAGCATAGTACCATATTAAATATTCTGGGAAGTAAATAAACCAGTTTGACTTGATTTTAACCAGTGCTTCCCTAACTTATTTAGACATAGAATCATTTTCTCAGATAACATCTACTTAGTAAACCATGAAACAAATTTTCTTTTTCTTTTTTTTTTTAAGATGGGGTTTCACCATGATGGCCAGGCTGGTCTTGAACTCCTGACCTCAGGTGATCCACCCACCTCAGCCTCCCAAAGTGCTAGGATTACAGGCGTGAGCCACAGTGCCCAGCCCATGAAACAAATTTTCTGAGACACACTTTGGACTACCAACATGAATATTCTTAGGTACTAGGGTTAGTATAGGCAAAAGGAAAAGTACAATCTTATGCGCTGTTCTCTACTGGTTTTTGTGCCTGTTGTCACTTGCAGTTTCAGTCAATGGAGACTTTAAAACATTATGTTTCTTAATTACAATCATTGGTTATCAAGTCTCCAAGATAATGAGTTAAATTTCTGTGACTCTCAGGCTATAGTTGGCCTCTTTTTCTTCCTAATAAGAACATGGAATCTGGCAATCAATCACTTAAGATACAAAATATCAACTCAAACCAAACAAAAACATTAAAGTTCTGAAGTCAAGGATCTATTTGAAAACATATCAAATTAGGTCAGGTTAATACCTGCAGAATATATCTGCCAAGGTAAAGCTTATGTCATGATTTCTCTCTAATTCTAGTTCTGGCACTTGATCATTAAGTAAACTGGGATAAATTAATTTTGTAAGGCTGAACAGAGACTAATGGATTTTATCTCAAAATGATCTTTTTCTTTTTTAACCCTTAAGCTCTATGCCAAACATTTCAGAAGTGTGGTTATTTGCTATGATGGTGCCACTGTACTCAAGCCTGGGCAACAGAGGGAGACCCTGTCTCCAAAACATACGAAAAACAGTCTCTTCTATTAGATCAGGCAATCTCTTGGGAGATCATGTCTTACCCAAAACAGACTATAACGTTATCAAGAATGGGAACTTTTTTTGACAAGGTCTCACTCTGTTGCCCAGGCTGGAGTGAAGTAGTGTAATCACAGCTCACTTCAGCCTGGATCTCCTGGGCTCCATGGATCCTTTCACCTCAGCCTCCTGGGCAGCTGGACAACAGGCACAAGCCACCACAGTCAGCTAATTTACTTTTATTTTTTGTAGAGACAGGGTCTCCCTATGTTGCCCAGGCTGATCTCAAATCCCTGGGCTCAAGTGATACACCTCAGCCTCTCAAAGTGTTGGGTTTACAGGCATGAGTCACCAAACCTAGCCAAGAATGGGGACTTTGCCATCCAAAAAACTTGTGCTGGCTTTGCAGCAGCAACAGGCCCTATAATGAAGGCACTTCCTGAACAGTGACTTTCGGTGGGTGAAACCAGTCTTCGTGGAATAGGATACAAGGCTCAAATCCTATACCCCATGATGAAGTTATTCATTAACCAGGGTCATAGCATCCTATTCCTACTCTGTATGGGAAGGAAGGTTAATTGCAGAAGAATTAGTCGCTCATTCCTTTCTGTTCCTAAAACACTTTGTACTTTTCTGCTTCAACACTATGTTATTATTGTTATTTAATAACTTAAATTTGTTGTTTGTAGAGATGGGGCTCTTGCTATGTTGCCCAGGCTGGTCTTAAACTCCTGGACTCAAGCAGTCCTCCCACCTTGGCCTCTAAAAGTGTTGGGATTATGGGCATGAGCTGCTGCAAATGGCCTATCTAATAACTTTATCCTCCTTTGCAACTGTATACTTTCCTTGGGGTGATGATATTACTTTATTCTTCTTTGTAAATGACCCAATACCTAGAAAAATACCCTCCATCATTGAGTAGGTGCCAATTAGTGAATGAAGAGAAAGCAGATATCTGAATAGATTGCTGCTGCTTTTTTTTTTTTTTTTTTTTTTTTGAGATGGAGTCTTGCTCTGTTACCAGGCTGGAGTGCAGTGGTGCGAAGTTCGCTCACTGCAACCTCTGTCTCCCAGGTTCAAGCGAGATTCTCCTGACTCAGCCTCCTGAGTACCACTACAGGTGTGTGCCACCATGCTTGCTAATTTTTGTATTTTTAGTAGAGATGGGGTTTCACCATGTTGGCCAGGATCGTCTCCATCTCCTGACCTCATGATCCACCCTCTCAGCCTCCCAAAGTGCTGGGATTACAGGTCTGAGCCACCGCGCCCAGCGGATAGTTTGCTTCTATTTTAATTTTTGAATGAAGATGCAATAGTAAGGAACACATAGTCCAGTGACCTACCTAGCTAGATGACTTAGTCTTCTGCTTATCTAGATTGGTTATAGTCTGTTTTGGGTAAATCATATGGTTGGAGTAGATGAGACATCATTTACCAGAGGTCAGTGGACTCCAGGGGATTTTTGATCCCCTACTTCATGCAAAGGTAAAAATCACAAGGATTGGATGGCTTGGCAGAACTCTACTATACTACTCTATAGTAGAGCTATATTATAGCTCTACTATACTATGTACTGTGATTGCAATAACATACGTGGAAAACAAACGACATGTGCCTATAGTGTCTAGCTATACACTGACACACTCTCCAGCTTGTTGGTGCCTTTCCAGAGCCCCTTTGCTTGGCTTCAAAAGGTAAGATGGGGACAGATTCTAATCGTTTTTTTTGTTTGTTTGTTTTTTGTTTTTTAAGACAGAGGCTGGAATGCAGTGTTGCAATCCCCACTCCCTGCAACCTCCGCCTCCTGGGTTCAAGTGACTCTCCTGCCTCAGCCTCCAGAGTAGCTGGGATTACAGGCGTGTGCCACCACGCCCGGCTAATTTTTGCATTTTTAGTAGAGACGTTTCACTATGTTAGCCAGGCTGCCCTTGAACTCCTGACCTGAAGTGATCCACCCGCCTCGGCCTCCCAAAGTGGCGGGATTACAGGAGTGAGCCACTGCTCCAGGCCCCAGATTCTAACACAGCTTTTCAATGCTTATTGTCTAAATCCCTCTAGCCCCTCTTAATAGAACTCTGACCAGTCGACAGTCAGGTGAGTGCCTCGCACGTGCAGGACAGTAAGTCGAAAGGTGCACAACTAGTAGTTTCAACACGGGGAGGTTGGGAGTCTGGTGTCGAAGACAGAGTATTTAAAAGAAAGATTCGAAAGGCCGCGGATCCGACCACAGCCGCGTCGAGGGGCTATGCTGACAGCTGGGTAGATCAGAAACCCGACTGACAAGAAACCGACTTGGGGAGCATGTGAGGCGGATATGGCCAGGGCAGACAACCCCTGTCAGCTCCTGAAGTTATTCTTCTCACGCCTCCACCGGCCCTCCGCGCACTCCCAGGAGGCTGAGCGATCGAGCGGTCAGGAGGCCCGGCGTTTTTCGCCGCTGGCGGCTCTGAAATTGCCTTTTGGAACAAAACTTGGGTTGGAAAGGAGGCGAAGCGGAAAGCGTTGTGCGCGAGTGAGCCGCGCCGTAGGGGGCGGCCCGAGAGACAGCGTCCGGACCAGGACCCGGACACTGAGCAAAAGCCGCGCGCTCTGCTCCCCTCGCGGCGCCCGCATTCGGCCACCTACGGGGGAGTTTCGGCTCTTTCCGTCAGTTCAGCTCCGGCCCTCCATTCCCTGCGCGCGCCAGGTGCCTACCCAATGCCGCCGGGTACGAGTCGTTCTGCACGCGGACGCGAGCTCGAGTCCTACCCGTTTTTCCCTTACATCTAGTTTGTCCCGACCCGCTCCCTGAGTCTTCCCGTCCCCGGTAATTCCCAGTCTCCGGTCGCTCGCGAGCCTGCAGACGGTGCGAGACGCGAGGGACCAGGCCCCGAGAGGAGCGGTAACCCGACCAGCCATAGGCCGCCTCTCACCGCCGGCGCCCAGTGCCTCTCACCGCTCCCCTCAGTCTGAGGCACACGGACCGCCTCGGTCGTGCTCGCGCACCCGTTGGCTTCTCCAACCTCTAGCTTGGCGCGCCGGCGCGAGTACGCGCGCTGCGCTCTGGCTGGTTGGCTGATGCGCACGCGCCCGAGAGGGCTCAGGGGCGGGGCGAGTCGCTGCCCAGCCGAGGGTCGGGGTGATCCGCTGGCACTCTGGCAGCCGTCGCGGCTGCGATTCCCGGCCTGTTGTCAGGCGCAGGAGAGAAGCGAGGAGGCGGCGGTGGGGGCGGGGCGGCGTCCTGCTCTGAGAGAGCTGGGGGAGGAGCGCGGTGGCGACGGCGGCGGCTCTAGGAGAGGAGGTGAAGGAGGCGGAGGATCTCCTCTCCTCTTCTCAGACCCGGGAGCGTCCGGGACGCGGAGCCCGGAGCTGGGGCGACGAGGCGATTGCGGGGGCCTGGGCTAGGTGAGGCTGGGGGTGCTGGGTGGAGGGGTTGGCGGGGGCTTAGAGGGGTGCCGAGGTGCGGGGAGCGGGTTGAGGGAGGAAAAAGGGGGAGGGGGCAATTGTTGGGGACGGGGGCTCTTACAGGCCCGGAGTGGCCGGAAGGGTGGAAGGTTCCTGGGGTATGTGGGGCCGGCGAGGCACCCGCGTCCGAGTTGGGGAGTTTCCAGAGGGATAGGCCCGGGAAACAATGGAGTGTTGGGGGGGACTCTGGCGTGAGGGTGTGTGGGGTATTGGATTTTAAGGAATAACGAGCAAGATAGAAAAGAAGGAAAGAACAGGATCATTTGGGACGAGAAGTACAATGAATTGAGAATGCAGTGGGGATGCGTAAGGTCACCTCCGTGGGTGTCCGAGGTCCTTAGGAGTCGGGAGCAATAATGAGATTTGAAAATAAGGGCTAGAAGGGCGTTCTTGGAATTGAAGGGGGAGACGGAATGGAAAATAAGGCGAAGAGAGGTAGAGACATAAAATAGATGTGGTTTGGACTTGGATTAAAGCAGAAAGGTAGATTTAGTCAGTTTTGGACCAGAGTGCTGTCTTTCTCCTAATTCATCCAGAATGATTGAGGTCTCGTAGAAAGTGGATCTTTCTCAAGCCTGTCCCTCTGCTAAGGAGTACAAGCCCTTCTTTAAATAATTTGATTATCACTTGTCCATTTTACTGATAAAATATGCCTATAATATTTACTTCCCCTCTTTTTAGTAGGCTGTTATACGTAATTTACCTATGGTTAATGAAGCAGGAGAGGACAGATCACCAAAAATATCTTGCTTTGAGTTAGGTCAATCGTAATACAGAGTTCAGTGTTTTGGAGAGAACCAGAAGATTGCTTGTTTAAGTTTGACCAAAAGGTGATGGATAAAGTTATCTGTACTTTGTTAGAATTGCTACTGGTTTTATGTTTGTGGGAGAGAGCTGGGGTTCTGCCTTATTTCTTAATATTAACTTCAAATAATCAGGCTGCTTCATACCTTCCAGTTTGAATTAAGGTGGTTTGGAAATATAGTGGAAAAGTATCTTTGGGATTATGATCTTTAAGTTTCCTTGGTACTTGGATTTCCAGACCAAATTTGTAATGGTACTCGATAGAAAATAGCCGATTTTGAAATTGTGATTACCATTCTGTGCTCATAAGTAGTCCATGTTAAACCTTTTATTTGTTGGGCATTAAGTTTTGCTGACTCATCTAAGATTTCTGGACATTCATCACTTTATATTTCTCAGCTAGGTGTTGGATGGTAGCATTTAGGTTACTTTATAAAGGTCCAATTAATTCAAGAAAGATGTTCAGGAATAAAAAAAAGTCCAAAAACGATCGAAAATGTCACTTTTCTTAGATGTTATGAAAATTGAACAAATCAAGACATGAATGTAGTGTTCTTATTAGTGACAATGTGTCTCTTTTTGTTTTTTTCTGAAACGAAGTCTTGCTCTGTCGTCCAGGCTAGAGTGCAGTGGCGCGATCTCTGCTCACTGCAACCTCCGCCTCCCGGGTTCAGGCGACTCCAGCCACTCGACTAGCTGGGATTACAGGCACCTGCCACCGTGCCTGCCTAATTTTTGTATCTGAAATAGGGACGGGGTTTCACCATCTTGGCCAGCCTGGTTTCAAACTCCTGACCTGGTAATCCACCCGCCTCAGCTTCCCAAAGTGCTGGGATTACATGCCTGAGCCACGGAGCCCTGCCTAATGTGCCTCTTTTTTAATTGACCTCTTTCGGTGGGCTAGTCAAGGTGCTAAGATATGTGTGTGTGTGTGTGTATTATTTAACCCTCACAATTATTTCATATTTTGTAAATTAAGAGGTTAAATAATTTACTAAGGTCACAGAGCTAGTGAAGAACAAAGCTTGAGTCAGTCCCAGCTCTATCGGATGGCTTTTAAAAATCTTAACTGCCTGGTTGCCCTTTCTGCTTCACCCCCGTCTTGATTGTAGTAAAGCAGCAGGAATGGGTTGAAACTTGGGTCTGGTAACTGTGATATAGATGAAGATTAAGTTAGTAGGCTACATCCGTAGAGTTCATTGAAGGTTTACTGCTTCTGTGATTTGACAAAGCTCTGGGGTCCTGATAAATAGGACTAAAATCATTTGCTAAGGATTTGTCCTGCGAGCACACTTAGTTTTCTGTTTAGTCTTGTACTGCTGATGTACTGTGCATATGGGGCACCCTTACTTGTAGAATCGAAGACAGCCAGTTGTGGAGCCAAAACCAATTAACTCTGGAAAACAATTGAAAACTGCTCAGTACTCAGGTGCCCTCCAGACACCAGTTGAGCCCACAATTAGGTACCAGCATTACCTCTAAACTTAGATAGGAGGATCCTCTTAGAAACCAGGAGTGAAACAGCTAGAACTGAGGGAAACAGCTGGGGTGGGAGGGAGGAGCCACAGGTTATGGCCAAAACATGAGCATAGCCCCTGGAGGCTGATCAGGCTAAGATGGGAGGGAATTTTCATTTGTTGAGCATTTATATATTCCAGGCACTGAACTCAGTGTACGTTATTATCAGTTAATTGTAAGTATTATCTTCATTTTTCAGATGAGGCTCAGAAGGGTTAAAAGTAACTTACATAGTCACTTTATAATGGCAGTGAAGAAAGTTTGTATATACTATTCTAAAAATTGCTGCTTGCAGTTTCCCTTGCAGTTTCCCATTGTAGGATCACCATATTAAAGCTGGAAACTAAAAGTCACTCTTTCAGATCTACCTGGCTTCTCTGTTATGTGTATAACTGATTATTTCAGTCTTGCTACTTTCATTGGAAACTGGAAAGAAAAGCTTGTATTTTTTTGGATGTAATTGTTAGGAACTACAGTCCATTCATTATATTATCAAATGACCTGTAGAATATAATTCAGCTTCCTTAGTTGCTTAGTGTATATTTGCAGCAACATAAAAATAGCATGTCTCTAACTTCTCTTCTGGGATCTTCACTTTCAACAATGTCATCTAGATTATAGTGAAGCTTGCCTGTTACAGACTCTTTTGCTTTTCTCCTTATGTTTTTGCCACAAATGTTTGACAGTTGTTCTTTGTTATTTATTTATTTATTAGAGACAGGATCTTGCTATGTTGCTCATTCTGGTCTCAAACTCCTGGGCTTAAATGATCTCCCTCAGCTTCCTGAGTAGCTGGTATTGGTTAGTTTATTTACTCTCTGTTTCCCCAGCCTGCACCGCCCACCCTGCCACACGCCCAGAAAGGATCTCACTCTGTTGCCCAGGCTGGAGTGCAGTGGTACCATCCTGGGCTAACTGTTTGACCACATCCAGCTAACTTTTGTATTTTTTTGTGGAATCAGTGTTTCACTGTGTTGCCCAGGCTGGATCCCAATTCCTGGGCTCAAGCCATCTACCCGCCTTGGCCTCCCAAAGTGTTGGGATTATAGCATGAGCCACCTCGCCAGGCCTTTTTGTTTACTTAAAAAAAAAAATTGGCCAGGCTCAATGGCTCACACCTGTAATCCCAGCACTTTGGGAGGCCTAGGAGGAGTGGATCATGAGGTCAGGAATTCAAGACCAGCCTAGCCAAGATAGTGAAACCCTATATTTTTGTCTTACTAAAAATACAAAATTTAGCCAGGCATGGTGGTGTGTGCCTGTAATCCCAGCTACTCGGGAGGCAGGAGAATTGCTTGAACCTGGTGGGTGGAGGTTGTGGTGAACTGAGATGTGCCACTGCACTCCAGCCTGGGCAACAGAGTGAGACTGTCTCAAAAAAAAAAAATATTGTGGTAAACTATATATAACAGAAAATTTATCATTTTAACCATTTTTAAGTGTACGGATCCATGGCATTAAGTACATTCACATTGCTGTGCAACCATCACCACCATCTGTCTTGGGAACTTTTTAATTTTCCCAGACTGAAGCTCTGCACCTATTAAACAATAACTCCTGTAATCCAAGCACTTTGGAGGCCAAGGTGGGTGGATCACCTGAGGTCGGGAGTTCAAGACCAGCCTCACCAACATGGTGAAACCCTGTCTATAAAAAAAAAAAAATTAACAATAACTCCTTGTTTCTCTTTCTCTACCCAGCCGCTGGCCACCAATATTCTACTTTCTGTCTCTATGAATGTGACTACCCTAGGTACCTCATATGTAAGTAGAATAATATAATATTTACTTTTTTGTGTCTGGCTTGTACCACTTAGCATATCTTCAGAATTCATCCATGTTGTAGCATATGTCAGCATCTCGTTCCTTTTTAAGACTGAATAATATTCCATTGTATGTACATACCACATTTTGTTTATCTATTCATCCTCAGTGGACATTTGGGTTGCTTCTACCTTTTGGCTGTTGTGAATAATGCTGCTGTGAATTTTTGTGTACAAATACCTGTTAGAATCCCTGTGTATTAGTCTATTCTCACAATACCTGAGACTGGGTAATTTTTTTTTTTTAAAAAGGTTGAATTGGTTAATGATTCTGCAGGCTGTACAGGAAGCATAGCAGCTTCCAGGGAGGCCTCAGGAAACTTATGATCATGGTGGGAGGCAAAGGGAAAGCAGGCATGTATAGGTTGCTGGAGCAGGAGGAAGAGAGAGAGGTGGAAGGAAGTGCTATACACTTTTTAAAAACTAGATCTTGTGAG